TTCGTACACAATAGCCTTATCTATGTTTTCATTTTTAAGTTTTGTTTTCATCCTACGGAATTGAAGAACTCATCGTCAGTTTGCATTGAGACTCCTGAGGGTGAAGATCGTATTTTCAGAGAATTTATTTTTTCGTGTGATTTTCTGGCTAGATTGCACGTTGTTTAGCGAACAAATAGCAGATTAACGAGTTGAACGAATTTCACAGAGAGAGTTATTGGCTGAACGAATGGAGCTAGAGAAAAAAAGTTGAAACAAAAGATATTGGTGATTTCATGACTCATTTTTTGAGTTATTAGACATTTTGGTCTATTCCTAGAAGTTAACGAGATAATCACGGTTTAATGATCAACGCAATGTGAATTTGTCTCGTCATCGCCCATAAAACGTTGAATATCTCGAAAATTACTTGGAATAATTGAAAAAGTCAAAAAACTGATCTGATGTATTTTTCATTGCTCAAGCCCAAAAAGGGCTCTTTTACCGACGGTAGTTAAGCATGAGAAGTAGGTCTTTTTACCGTTGAGCAGTATAAAAGTGAGAAATGCACTACTTAGGAGTGAAAAAGTGAGAAATGCACTCCTTAGGACTGAAAAACGTGTGGCGCCACCCAGCGTTAATGTACCGAAATATAAAACTACATATAAAAACTGATAAATTCAGCCAGTGAATCCCCTTCATTATCTTCAAAATTGTTAAATTTTAAATTTGAAAATACACCTGAAAATTAAAATGAAAAATAAATTATTAAAAAATCTTAATTTTGATAATAATAATATTAGAAATATCATTTCATAGAAAATTTTTTATTGAAACTCTGAAATAAACTACAACGTAAACGCAAGAATAATACTCATAGTTTAAATAATAAAATCTAACAAAACAATCAGTTATGCCCATCTATCTCAACTAAGATCTCGAGATTCACTTATTTTCCTTATTTTCTTTATCAAATACTTTAAAATTTGAGCAATTGTAAAAATTGAGATTGATATTTGGATGGGAACGTAGAAGTTGATTCAACTGTAGATTTGGAGCAGGATCTGGTGAGACATCATGAAGTGGAATTGGTGAGATGTCGTTGATCACAGGTTGGGGAATACGATTACAGAGAGATGATGGTGATTTGTTGGCTTCTCTTGGAGTTGTTGTTCCCCGGCTGTGGCGGGGAAATTTAAATGCATTTGATTTTTTTTTTCTTTTGCAATTTGTTTTTTCTTCAGTGGGGGGGGCTCCGCCCCCCCCAACCCCCCCCGCCGGGGGCTGCGCCCCCTGGACCCCGCTCCACGCCCCCACCCCCAACCCCCACGGGCTTTTCGCAATAAAAAATAGTATACGCGCTTCGGCGTTGAATTCAGCACTTCTCCGCCTTAGCACGTAATATACTATTTTTTGTAATGAACATCTTTTGTTTCAACCATTATTTTCTCCGTCCAACCATTTTTTTAAAAAGACTCCGGAGCACGTTGCCGCCGCGCAATAGTGCCAGCGCGCCGCTCGCTGGACTTGTATCCGCGATATCTCTGCAACCATGACCGGTATGAGAAAATGTTATAAGACAAAATACGTCCACTTTGTGATAAGAAACATTTTTTGTTTGAAACATTTTCCCCTATAGCCAACCGTTTCCGCGATATTCCGTTTTAGACAATTAAATTGTTATAAACAAAGAGACTGCCCACGATTTCGCACAAACGATCATCATATTCGCAATCAGCGACCTCGAAAACATAGAATCCAGTAATAAAATCTAATGGACATCTCAATGTACACAGAAGTACCCCTAGCGTATGGACTAACACCTTCTTTCGGCTCTGCTAGTTCGTCCGTCGATCATCTGAATGCCGTCCGCACGGAACGTTTGGGCTCGTAAGGCAGCGAATAAATCCGGAAAACATAACATGCAAAGAGCTCACAAGTTCCACCTCCAGTTTTCCTCTAACGTTAAACAACAATGGTTTGGATGTTGAGGGAGTTCAGGGAAAAACGACAGACAAGCCTTTGGTAGACAATTTCATTGTCAACAATACACGTTTTTTGATATTTGTCTCTAGAATAAATCATTTACGAGATTTTCAGTGAAATAACGAACGCGAATACAAGTCAAATTATCTTTTTGATTACTCAATCAATTCAGTAATTAATGATTTTCCGTCCCGGCGGGCGCAAAGTTACATTTCCCTCCCGCGAAGCGGGAGGGAACTCTGACTTTGCGCCTACACCGAGACGGAAAATCGCGTTCTAACCGCGGGAAGTAAAATAAAGGACCCTCAGCCGCGTGCTTACCAACCTCGCCTTCGGCTCGGCTGGTAATTGCACTGGCGGCTGAGGATCCTTTATTTTCCCTCCCTAGGTTAGAAATATACTGTTATGAAATATATTTAAGTCTTTCTCGTAGGTGAGAAAATTCTATACAAATAGGTCGTTCGGTTATTTTTCTTAATTATACCGAACACCTAAACACAGTACAGGGAAAATGTAGAACTAATCTCGTCGTGATCGAGTTTCAATCCGTCCGTATCTCGTCCATATGCCGTCTGAAACGACTCGAAACGTCACGGAAGATATCCAGAGTACAGGATATTCGAAGAGCTTATTGTTTCTATACTCGCTCCTGCTGGCAGGCTCCACATCTGATGTGCGCTCCTAGTTCATTTCGAGAATTTTCTGGTTTGAAATACGGCTCGAAAAATTATAGATTCTATCAGGAGAGTATGACGAGCATGAGATCTCCTCAAGTCGACGTAGGTATTTCCCCCACTCCGATAGCCAACCGCGCAGCCGATATCACGGCGTAAAATATTGGGTGCTCCAATAGGTTCACGACGTGCAGCAGGAGCATGAGAATAGAGGGAATAGAGATATCTCTATTCTCCATGAGCAGTAAAGCTACCGTGCCTAGACCGTGTGTGCTAAGTCGGTATGATAGGTCATTCGATTGCACGCAACAATACTATCACTGAACTACGTGTATTCGCCACGGTGGACATCACGTTTGTCTTACAGCAGTACGCTGTAAAGCGAGTAGGGTGACCAGGCCGATTGCTGGACGGTTAAAGGAAATTCGAATTTCGTGGTAGGATCTAAAATAAAAGAATCACCTAAATGGAGATGTGATGGCTTCCATACCAAGAATGTTATAATTAGCAGAAAAAAATTGTTTATGTCGCGCCGTGCAATAAGTCGAGTTTTGCACGACTTGACATAAAATATTATAGAGCACTCGGTAATAAATTTCGTTTTCAACGAATGTGTAGTTTACAGGCCGAGCCGAAGGCGAGGTCTGTACACACATTCGTTGAAAACGAAATTTGTGCCCTTGTACTCTAATGTACTATTAAACTTAAAATAACAAAACAAAGAATAATTAAATTGAAAAATAGTTGAATGTAGCCAAAACCCTCAATTTCTGGACGACTGGATCATATTTTTTATTTATTTATTAAATGTTGATCAATAGAAGAAAATAATTGATCACTGATTATACACAAGTGAAATTATGGAGAGGTGAAATGATTAATACAATTTTCATTTTATTAGTGGAATATTCAATGCAAGTTGAAATCGTCCAGAAACTAACCCCAGTCCAGAAATTGATCTGTTTACCCTATAACAGCATCTTAACTGAATTTGGCTATCGGGGCTGTTGGGCGGAAATTCTGCGCGTTTCGGGTACTCTAAAAACATTTAATTTCAACNTATTGTGGCCTTGAGACTGAAAATTCGCCATACTGGGCTGAAATTCTGCGCATTTCGGGTACCCTAAAAACCTTAAATTTCAACGAATCAGAGCTACGCATCTAGAATTCCTGCATTACCAATCGGGAAGCATGGCTCTGATTGGTTGAAATTTAAAGTTTTTAGGGTACCCTAAACGTACAGAATTCCAGCCCTGTGAACCATCAACACAAAATTATGTATCCACTGGTGGCTATTTGCCGACAGTTATCGTTGTCGACGATTCGTCGCCCTATTGGAAACGCTAAATATCAAAACGCCACCTATGAATGGCGGATATTGGGGCCGTGTTATGTCCGCCCAGATGTCACTAGGGCAACCAGCGCCAATTTCAAAATTGGCGGAAAGGGTTGGCAGGAACGTTTGCAACTGAAGCCCGGATGGGCAATCCAACGAAGTCCAACAATTATCTCATGAAATCTCTGCTAAATCCTTGACTTGATGATTAATAATTATGAGGAACAGGTTATTTAAAATAAATCCAACACTGAGTGCTTCGGGAGAGCACGTAAACTATTTATTCAATCAACAAAACTTCAAAACTCTAATTATTTGAAAAGGTAAAAGATCTGAACTCTGAAAACTATGTCGTAGAACTGCCTCTAGATATTCAAAAACTGCCCCTCGAAGGGTCTTACTTCCCCTACTCTTTTCCAAAGTTGCGCACGCATCTCCTATGTTCTTACATGCTAATAGAAACTGAAGGGAGAAAGCTAGGCGACGTTGCGATGCAGTCAACGTTGCCTAGTCTCTCAACTTTGGGACACACGTGTTCCAGGAGAAAATGACGTTTCTCACAAGGAAACAAAGGACACAAAAGGAGGTCTGTTCATGATTAGTCATGGACCCTCTTGGAAAGCAGACGCATAAAATTTTACGATGTTTATGGCGACTCGAGAAAAATCAACAGAAACCCGATATTATTTCAGAGTGTTTATTCCTATGTTTATTTCAACGGTCTATATTTTCCTTTTCTTCCAATGGACCTCTATATTCGAAAATTGAAATAATGCATCGTTCTTCTCCGGAAAACACGTGCCCCAAATACGCAGTATAAAATAAAAGAAGGATAAAATAATTATTTAAATTCAATTATTCTGATCAGACTAATATTTAAATTGCCCGCCAGGTGTGCATAACGCCACCTAGTTACGAAGGGCCAGCGACATAACAGCCGCACACAGACAGTATCAACCCAATTTTGGCTTGTAGCGTGTATATGAGAAGCCTAAAATCGTCCATATTGGTGAAAACGAGCGCCGCCATCGGTAACTAGCGGTCCCAATCTAATTAGGAACTTGCCATAATGATCATATTCCGAGCTCAACAACAACGTGGTGCAGTGCAGCCGCTCAAGTATATGGAAATCTGGAGCAGGGGATCAGTAATATTTTATTAGTTATTGAAGTGGGTAAAAAAATCGGTGGGCAATAATGGCAGCGAAGATGCAGCAATTCGAGCCACCCAGCTCCGCCAGTTCTGAAAGGTAACTGTTTTGCAAGTTTTTTATTGTTGTTATATTTTCATTGGTTCTTTTTATTCTGCTTTCTTTTATGACGAGTAGGGCTTTTGGAATGTCAATTCTGACGTGATAGTTCTTGGATGACGAATGAAGGACTGATAGTAGGGCTTTTCGAATTAGATTGTGAGCATTGACGAGAATTTGGATTTATGTATTGTAGTGATGGGGACCTATGTCTTGAGGATCGCAGCGCATTTCTAGTGGAGGCTGCCAGTCAAGATGGTGAACAATGCCGGTGTGATTTGTCCACACCAACTCCACAATCTCCCAGGCCACCTTCACAAGGTAAATAACTTAATTAATTTATAATACTGAGATTCGTTCAGTAGGGACGGGGTAGCAATTGAGTCAAATACTGACGTATATGATACTTATTGTTATTCAGAAGATTATGTGGAAATGATTAGTTCTTGAAGAAAATATCAAAAGGTCTTTTCTGTGGAACTTAAAATTTTCTACATAAGAGCTCTTTCAATATTGTCGTTAAAAATTCATAAATAGGCAAATGATTCAGTTGTTTTATGAATAGTTTTTTAATTAGTTTGTGTTTCAAGTAAAACAGTTTTTGACATATTGAACGAAAAATATCTCCTGAACAAGACGCCCGTTTCCGTTAATTTTTAACACGAACCATTGCAATTATAAGAAAAGCTTCATGCCAAATTTTAACTCAGTCTCTCGATTTGTTCGAAAGTCAGAGTCGCATTTTTAATGAATTAATCTAAAATTTTCCTTCGGCTTACCTAGTCAATGAGATTAAAGTGGACAGTGTTTTTTAAACAAACGTTTTGCTCCTTTTTTGAGACTTTAACATTTTTTCCGCAATAACGATCGCATTGCGACAGAAACGGAGGAGAGATTCGGATTCAGTGTTAAGAAATCTGTATAGAAGTGGTAATTTCATACTTAGGGCAAAAAACATCTAAATTTTTTTGTAGAACTGTGTTATGCATATTGTGATTGATTGCTACAGAAGACGTCGAGACGCAATTTAAAAGAATTAAAATTGGTTGCATAGTTTTCTAGATATTTGTGAAAATTTCAACCGAATCGCTCTCTTTTATCAGAAACAAATAGACCAATCGAGCTAAAATTGTGCACATAGATGAGTCAAATCAATACCTAATATCTGACGAAATTTCACATTTTTCGCAATTGTTTCAGCGGTTTGAAAATCATAGACGAATGTTCATGATTTAGGGGTCAACCTAAATGAATGTGACTTAGTCAGAGAGTAATTTTATTATTTTGGCTTTTTGGGGTTCACATACCAGCTGCGTCCATTTGTTATAAAAAATTACCCGACTATGCGTTCTTGAATTTAATTGGAAGTTTCGAATTTATGATTTTTTAAGTTATATACCTCTTGAAAGGAGGAGCTGGAAGGGTGATCGCATATATCTACCTGAGCACCCATAATTATTACAAAAGGTGTCTCAACGAAATTTAAATTCATATTAGCTACCTACGTTGCCCATAATTGAAAGCCACGAATATTGAGTTTCATCCTGTAAATGCTGATGATTTAGGTTCCCAAAAGTCTCCTAGATCCCGGAGACAACGAACGACGAGTATGTCACAGTCGAGCAAAAAGACTTCGGCTGAGTCGATTCTGAGAAGTAAATCAAGAACTATATACACTGCTGGAAGACCTCCCTGGTATAACTCAGCAGGACAACAGGTCGAACCATTCGTTATTGGTTCGTATATAGTTGGTTCATGTATTGGTTTTAATTCCAAAAGTGAATGATTATGATGAATCATTAGGAATCTGTGGAGGGAGTGCCTCTGGAAAAACCACAGTGGCGACCAAAATCATTGAATCTCTGGATGTACCTTGGGTGACTTTGTTGAGCATGGATTCGTTTTACAAAGTAATTATTCCGATTCAAGATTTTTTTCAAAGAAGTAACTCAGTAGTGGTAAGGTAAAACAATGCATGCTCACATATCTCTTCTCAATAGCCCTCGAATTACGTCAGTATCTATTGATTTTTCATTTGATCACATCTGCCTTGAGTTAGTTTATCATTTCGCTGAATACTTGTGTATTAACAATGGAGCGGGATTTAGAGGACAAATGTTGCAGGTACTTAATGAAAAACAACACGAATTGGCAGCTCGCAATGAATACAATTTTGATCACCCTGATGCATTCGACTTTGAATTATTGAAAACGACTTTACAGAGACTAAAAGAAGGAAGAAAGGCTGATGTTCCTATTTATAATTTCGTAACCCACAGCCGGGAAAATCGAACGGTAAATAACCAGAGGACTTATATTCGAAAAATTCATATAAATGTGTGTAAATGATACTACGTTCGTCTAGCTCAGGTGAACACATCACTAATCCAGTATTTCTATCGAAATGAGTGTCAAGGTGCGATGTTTTAAATTAGATATCAGAGGGTAAAACCTTCAGAATTGGAATTCACCTATATTAATCATGATAACAAGGGGCGAGTGAGGCAAAATGAAACAGTTAAAAAACGACTGTTTGAGGCAATTTTATTAAATGTTTTTTATCAACTTTTGCTTATTAACTTTTTTTATTCTTGGGAGTACTGATGAGAATGATAATTTTCCATTCTACTGAATGGAAAATTATTGAGACGTTTTGACGGGAGAAGATTTTGTCAATGAATTAATTGAAAAAAAATGAAACAGCCAAATCTAAAGTCCAGAGCAAGGCCCAGGGGGAGACCCAGAGGGGGAAAAAGGAAAATGTGATGCTGAATTTCAATCGAATGAAAAAAGAAAAAAGCAATCAGCCTAATCTAATCAATTGAATTTTAATCCGTTGAATTATAAGACGAATAGAAAATTATTATTCAACAGTACTTCCAATAATAAAAAAAGTTGATGAAAAAAAAATAGTTTTTGCTTGAATTGCGTCAAATAGTCGTTTTTTGGCTGTTTCATTTTGCCCCACTGTTTCATTCTCCCCTAGTCTTTTTTAATAAATAATCGTCTATAAATGTGGAAAGTTGCATGTCCCTACAGTTGCTCATTTGTCCCCATGCACGTTTGACACATGTCCCGATTCCCTTCTTCTGATTTGGATATGAAATGGTTATCTGCGAACTAATTACATTGTGAGTATTCTATTTTGTGATAAAGCAACATTACAAAATATTTTGAGGTACAAAATTATATTTCAATTGTGCAGTCCAACCTTTTAAATGATTTCTTGATCCATTTAGTCCGTTACTAGGTGACAGTTGGTTGCAAAACGAGCATAGGATCAATTCTATTTTCATTCTTTTAAGTGCCAATATTTTAGTAATTATTAGGATATTACTATAATTCATGCATTTTTATTGAATTTTTAACTATCCGTAACCTCAGTCAAGGGATTTTTAATCCCATTTTACTATTATAACGGAGATATCAACATTCACTCTGTCGTAGCACCAGTTGATGTGAATGGGATTTTTCTCTCTTATTATTCAATAAATCATTGTTTATTGATGTCCATAACTTTCCTTATCAACTAAAACAATACCTTCAATTGTATTTCACTCGTAATAGAGTCTTGGGATTGTCTGAATGTTTAAAGAGTGATAGCTGACGACATTTTACCAAGCATAGGGACAGGGACGAGCATACGTACATTTGCCTTAGATTACGTTGAAAATGCCTCAGAATATATTCCGAGAGAAAAATCTGATCTTTCTGTAGCGACAGGAATTCCTCACAAAAAAAAGTATCCTGACATTCTATCCATAAACTACTCTGTCATAAAATCACTTCAAAAATAAATATAGAAAGTTAATTCTACATTTATTCAGCAATTTAATCCGCAGATTTCTGAGCGTTTTGCTTTGTCCAAGGGAAATGTTTAACAGAATATAATCAATAGAACGAATCAATAGATTTTCATTTTCTTGTACAACTTATTTGATTGAGATATTTCTATTTAAACAACAACATAAATTTTCCAAGTCATTTTCACTGCCTTTTACCTCTCTTATTGCAAAAAAATGCAATAAGAAAACTAGGAAAATTTGAGTCAAGGAATTTCTCCAAGAACTAGTTCAACAGAATGAGTTGCATTTAAAGATCACAATCTATTGAAAGCGCAGAAAATCTGGGGAATTTTACCGTAGAATCGGCGAACAACCGCGAATCACTTTCCGGCGAAATTTTTCCATACGTGATTGTTTCAAAACTAGAGGTTTTGCGAATCTGTAAATAATTTAGGTTTCAACACTTTAACAATCGTTCAAGACTTAATGCATTATTAAATAAAAATAATGGTTTGAAAAACCACTCGAAAAATTGTATTTTTTTTGCAGAAACCAATGTATGGTGCTAATGTGATAATTTTCGAGGGGATTCTCACGTTCTACAACTCAGAAGTATTGAAGGTCATTATCGAACTTCGAAAAACAGGAAATAATTAATGGAATAGCATAGCAAATTGACTGAATTTTTTTTCTAAAAAATTCCAGATGTGTGACATGAAAGTATTTGTAGATACAGATGCAGATGTGAGGCTCGCCCGTCGTCTGAAGCGAGATATTTCACAGAGAGGGAGAGACCTGGAGGGTGTCCTCAAGCAGTACTGCACTATGGTAAAACCATCATATTATTATTACATCGCACCCTCTATGGTTCACGCGGATATCATCGTTCCTCGTGGAGGGGACAATGAGGTGGCCATCGAACTCATTGTGCAACACGTTCACACACAACTACAATTGGTAATGTTTTGCGTTGAAAAAATTCAATACTATAGAGTAAAAACATTTGAGCCCACTTACTGTTAATTACAAATTGTTTTGTCTATTTGAGATGATGATATTATCGTGTCACAACAATTTTTTTGTAAAAATATCTCGGTTTCAAAGAAAATCACTAGACATTTTTATTCCACAAAATTATTGATTGTGAGTGAATAAATGTCATAGGGGAGAGTGGGGCTAAATGAAACAGTCGGAAAATGACTGTTTCACGCAATTCAAGCAAACAATTTTTTTTCATTAAATACTTTTTTTATTCTTGAGAGTACTAATGAGAATAATAATTTTTCATTCAGTAGAATGGAAAATTATTAAGAAGTTTTGACGGGAGAAGATTTTGTCAATGGATTAATTGAGTCAAAAATGAAACAACAAAATTCCATGTCTAGAGCAAGAGCCAGGGAAAGACCCAGAGGGAGAAAAAGGAAAAATGTGATGCTGAATTTCAATCAAATAAAAAAAGAAAAATGTAATCGGCTTAATCTAATCAATTTAATTATAAGACGAATGGAAAATTATTATTCTCATCAGTACTCCCAATAATAGAAAAAAGTTGATAAACAAAAGTTGATAAAAAAAATTCTTTTTTGCTTGAATTGCGTCAAATAATCGTTTTTCGGCTGTTTCATTTGGCCCCACTTTTCCCTACAAATACTTGACTAAATGATTTTTCAAGAGAAGTCAAAGGACCTTCTTTGTAGTTGTCTAAATTCCTATTGACACAGGTCCGAAATCATTCTTTTTCGATATATTTGTACAATCAACAAAATTTTGATATTCCACTTAAAGCCTCCCACCAATTCACCACCGAATGACGCAATCCAATAAGATCAAATTAATAAGTAATGAATATGTTTCCAGAGGGGCTTCAAATTACGAGAGAAACTCGCTCACTCTTACATCGGTCAACCCCTGCCCTCGTCCCTCTTCATGTTACCAGATACACCTCAAGTTAAAGGACTGCATACGTTCATTCGCAACAAACACACAGATAGAGACGAGTTCATATTCTACTCCCGTCGTCTCATACGACTTGTAATTGAATATGCCCTATCACTACTGCCTTTTGAGGAGATAACTGTGGAAACACCGCAAGGTGTTCCCTACCATGGGAAACGCGGTGCAACTGATAAGATATGTGGGGTCTCGATATTGCGAGCTGGAGAGACTATGGAGCAGGCTCTTTGTGATGTATGCAAGGATATCAGAATTGGAAAGATTCTCATCCAGACGAATCTCATCACTGATGAGCCTGAGGTAAATGCATGTTTACAGCCGAGTAATCACTGAATTCAACAGATTTTTCCTCATCATTGGAAGAGGGCGAAAATATTTTCAGGAGAAAGCCAAGATAACTTTCAGTTTAAGCCCCGGGTGGATTATCTTTCGAACGTGATCTTAGTTGTTTTTTTTAATTTTGATAATCTGAAATGATCTTCAATTGCTGTTCAGTTTTACATAGCCCTAGAGTCTCCAAAAATTATGCTTGTACAATCAAAAAAACGTTGAAAAAAAACTGAACATTTTCAAAGAGCGTTGTTGAATAATATTGGGAAATAAACTCAATAGGGAGGAAATTGTAAATTAATAATTTGATGTATCTAATGGCTGTTAGATCGTCATTTGTCACAGTAGTCAATGGCTATCAGATCGCCTCTTACCATGATAAATTATCCATTCACTATTTCCTCTCCATCGGACTTATTCTTTAATCTTTATTGAAAACGCTTTGAAAAATGTTCTTTTTTTTGCTTTTTTTGATTGTACAATCATAATTTTTGGGACTCCTGTGTGATGTAAAATCTAATGAAAATTGTGATATATTTTACATTATGAACATGGAAAAACAATCGAAATAACGTTCGAAAGATAATCCACCCGGGCCGTAAAAGAGTGCTTATCTCAAAATTTGCTTCATGAATATCTCAAGAACTATCGAAATGGTACAGTAGTTGAAACCTTAAATACTCGTGGCTTCCCAATGAGATGAATCTCATTCTTCTCTATTGTAAAAATAAAGCATCAGAATTTACTGACGTTAATGCAATTTTAATCAGTCACACTCACATCATCATTTCCATTATTATTTCAGCTATACTATCAACGTCTTCCAAAGGATATCAAGGACTACAGAGTCATTTTAATGGACGCAACAGTGGCTACAGGAGCAGCAGCAATGATGGCGATAAGAGTTCTCCTAGATCACGATGTTGCCGAGGAGAATATTCTTGTGGTTTCTCTTTTGATGGCAGAGTCAGGTGTTCACTCGATCGCTTACGCCTTTCCCAGTGTTAAAATTGTGACTTCAGCCCTAGATCCTGAAATTAACGAGAAGTTCTACGTTCTGCCTGGTATTGGGAATTTTGGAGACAGATATTTCGGTACAGAACCCTCCAACTTCGATGAATTTGAATGATTTTTCATCAATTTATGTAAATATTGAGGACAAAGAGGAGGAAAAGAGATTTCTACAGATGTATTAAGGTATCAATTGAACATTTTCAATATATATGGCAAGATGAAATTAATAAATTAATGACAACAGAAAGAAATTATGCTTGTTCTGTATGGGAATTAAGTGGGAAAATTGAGAAGTGATAACTCGGAAAACCTTCTGCAAATATCTTGGAAAATACTAGATTAAGCATGTTTATCTCTTTTCCAGAAATCCAACTTTTTCATGATTGAGAAAAATTCGTTGCAACATTTTCGATAAAATGAAACAGCAATTTTTTCTTATAGCCGGCTCTTATGGGATTTACTTTCGAACTAACAATTTATTTGCTAAAAGACTTAAAAATGAAAACAAAATTAGAGGGAAATGTGAAGGAAATATATGGAATCCAGTGGCAAAGAAAAAATTTGAGGTATCCAGGTAAATGATGGAGAAATTTGAAACATTAGACCCCATTTGACCCTACGCCAAAGTCTACATTTATTGCACAATGCACAGCCTATTTTATTCCTTGAATAACGAACTTGCGTAAGCGAATGAAAATTTTTATAAACACGAAGGAAATTGCTCCATCAGTTGAAGAAAAATCAAAATTTTGTTGAGTTTTTGCGGTTTTGAATAAATTTAGTAGCGAAGCGGTAAAACGGTTTAAGTCGACTTAGCCCTTAGCAGAGGTTCCGAGAAATATCTCCGAATCTATGGGAGATAACGAAATTTTCGTCAAGATCGTTCCTGTGGAGTGAATTGAGGGCTACAAAAAAATTTTAGACAAAATTTTTGCTATCTCCCTCAGATTTCGAGATATTCATTGAAGACTAGCCAATAATCAAAATGGACTCGAACCGTTTTACCGCTTCGCTACTGAATTTTTGAGAGAAAAATGATAAAAGAAACTTTTATGCCGCTTCGAATTTTCTGTAAAAGTTTTCTTCACCTTTTCCTATATCACTGTAGTAGAATCAAAGAGGCGTAAAGGCTATACTTTTAGACACGACTTACACCTCTCTGAGTCTGCAATGATTACATGCTCAATAGCTTCAGAGTTATTTGCAAACAACAAAGGGGTGAGTCATTTTTCTGTGAAATAAATTGGAAAAATTACAAGCGCGTTGTGCCAATGTTGGGTACACGTGTGTTGGCACCAGAATCAATGACATTAGGTCGTAGCTGACGGTAGCCACGAGCACTCATTCTTCGGGAACGTCGCCAATTCTCTAGGTTACCGCTTTGTTGACCGAGGAGATACGTTATAAGCCGATCTAGCGCTGCCAAGTCTTCACTGGTGTTCTCTGGGTTTGACAAACCTTCCGCTGGGTGGGACGGACCCATGTCTTGCTGGTGGGAAGGGCCGGGAGGGTTTACACCGAGTCCCAATCTCGGTGTAATCTGCAGAGGAAATGAAAGGATTATTTTAAAAGAATTAATTCAGTAGAAAAGGGAAGAAACGGCTCGATGTGAGGAGGCCCATCTGTACACTGAGAAGACAAGTGTTTTTTGATAACTACTTCTTTACTTGTATCAAGAAATTCGTGGCTTGGAAATTACCAAACGTATAATATCTCACACTGAAAAAAAATGCACCAAGAAATTTTATACTTGTCTGAAAGATAAGGATAATTTCTTCATATCAAGAAAATGAGTTCTCAAATCAGTTCAAGTGGTTTTTGCATTACAATATTTTAGGATTGAAGCTAAAAAACTATTAATGAATTCATTCAATTTTACTTGGTTTGAGAAATGGTTTTCTTGTCATCAAGAAATTGTCCTCATCTTCAATACGAGGACAAAATTATCTGACGAAAGTTCCTTTTTCTCAGTTCAAGATATTTTACTCTTGAAAATTTTCAAGCCAGAAGTTTCTTGATATAAGATATAAGATATTTGTCAGTGTAAGTTCAAATTTGCATCAAGAAAAATTATCAACAGACGTTTGTTTGTAAGATATTTGCTCAGTTTCCGAAAAAGAATTACGAATTAGAAAAGAATACGAATTTTCGTTCATTTTTTCATTCTCGAGCCATTCACATAACTGAAAGGATTGAAGCAGTACAAGTGGTGAGATTTCATGTTGTTAATTACGTGTTAATTTCAATAGTCATTAATTTTAAGGAGAAAACGTTGAAAAACTTTGAGATAATTTCCTTGGCCACGAAAAAATGTTTTTTGAAATTCCTTCTTTCGAATCACGCATGCTCGAGACAGACGCATAAGTGAAGTGAAAAAATGAATAGATTGGCTAGAAAAATTTCTCAATCTCATAAAGAAATTCCTCCAAATTTTCATTGAATTTCAATGGTTGAGTTGAATCCACTTGTTCTGAATTTTTGAGATTATAGATAGGTTTTTCATATGTCACTTGCTGTTGACAGTTATGAAGGGCTCCAACAGGTGTCTGTTTACTGTTGTGGCTTTTCAAGGTTTGAGATTTCTTTGGTTTAAGATATTTTTGTCACAACCTTTGAAGACCTGATGGGTTGATAAATAGAGAATAAATGAATGCCCTGATGAAGGACACTTTGTGTGTTCGAAACGTTGACAAATAGTGGAAGAATTATTTTTTTCTCTTACGATTCTTTCCTTTTTTAATTCTAATTAAAATTGCTGTTATGACCGTTCATGGCTGAGGAAGTTGGAGTTTTTTGAAGATGAAATTATAGATAATTACATCGTCGGGTCCATGTTGTCCATAGCTCAACCTCTTGACTTCCCTGAATGTTTCGTCATTCATAGCTTCCCTCACAGCTTCATTTAAAGTCCTCTCCAAAGCCCGTTGTTTAGGTTTACTCAATCCTTCATAAAAGCTGAAAAAATAATGTTAGAAATTTCTTCATAATTTTTTCTTCTTCTAGAAAAAATCAGCAAAAAATTGTAACACGATCTCGATTAATAATGATGCTTTTTTAATGAAAATTTTCCTAGCTAAAAAAAGGCTCTCCCAACAATTTTTCCAAGTTGTCCCTCATTTGCGAAATATTCACATATTTTAACCCTAGTCTGGTCACCAAACGCGACCCTGCGACTTTGGTCACCTCCGGAGGGATTCCTCGCCGTGTTATTTAAGCTCTAGCGTTGCCGAATTCACTCTACATTGCGTGGGCACGTTCAGCGAGTTTTCGACAACGTTGCGTCATGGGCAATTTCATTTAAGGAGAAACGGCACCCCTGTGTTCATTTGAATTTTTAGAATTGGGTTTTCTCCTACAATTATTACTTTATATCTATAAAATGACTTTATCGACTCGATCATTGCATTGTTGAGTCAATGAAGTAGTTTCATAAATAAAAAATAATAATTGCAAGAGAAACACAATTCTAAAAATTCATATACACACAGGGGTTCCGCTTCCCCTTAACATGGGAAAAACAATTCATCTGCTCGAAAAAATTTGTTTTCTTTAGGAATTATGGAAAGTATATTATTCTAAAAACTACTATAATTTTTTAAAGACTTCAATTGACAGTCATTTTTATTTTATTTTTCCGGTTAGCCAGTCAATTGTAATGAAAGAAAAACGACACGCGGCGGGGTTTCCCTCATAGAGTGATCAATCTAGGGTTAATAATGAGAAAGTAAAAATACTGCCACGTTTCAAGTTAATTTACCGCCTCTCACTGATTATGATCATTATTTTGGTAATTATAGTTTTCAGATTGAAGTATGAACGGGATAACGACTTTCCTTGTAGAAAATTTTCTCAACTACGCATAAATCATATGATATTTTCGGTCCAAATTGTTCATTTCCAAAGGAATCAGCGAATCAGTGGAGATTAAGATTTTTGCTTAACTCGTTTCAATTTATTCTACTACTGAATCCTAAAATTTATGGAGATGAATTTGATTTATTTTCCTTCACCTCGAGTCCACTGAACTGACATCCCTCGATGTATTTTTGTCCCTCGCCATTCTGATATCATGCTGCCAGAATCTTCGTAATTCAGGCGTTGAAGTGTACGGTGCTGCAACTTCCTTGATCTGAATAAATCACTCTCATTAATTTGCTAACCGAATTATCTGAGTTAGGGTATGGTTTTTATTACCTTGAGTACGATTATCGCAGTGATAAAAATACACATGACATTGATGAAGGTCAAGCAGGCGCTAATTATCCCATTGCAGAAAAACTCGACAGGGAGATAATCCGTGTAGACGTATACGTAGGAACTGTTCAAGTCTGTGTATGACTCTCCTTTCATATGGGGCATTTTTATGGGGCGATATATCAGCCAGATACAGCCAAGAGCCCAGAAAAGACCCTTCAAATAATTTTTTTTAATTACATTCATTTCATCCCTCGTCTTTGTCTTCATTGGTGAATCATCATTTTTGTCCAAGAAAATTTCAAGAGATTTTTTTTCTAGGCAACGAAATTTCCAACGATAAACGTTTACTGATATTTTCTCCCGGAATCACACATTCTGATTGACATTACAATAAGATAATAGATCATTTATTTCAACATACACAATTGACAACTGGTGGTAACAATGATGCGGAAATAGCTACACCAATTAGTGGACCATTACTTCCTTGGAGGAGAGCAACAGCTACTCCCGTGCCTGAAGGTAGAGCCCAGAGAATGCCCATCCATAGTGATCTATAATTTCCTCTGAACGACGCAAAAAAAATGAAAGTTTGACCTATTTGATTAGAAAACAAGTGGGAAATTGCTCTTGAGATTTTTCCTCATAAATTAGCAATATGCTTCCGAATGGCTATTTTGCACATCATTTCCTCCTATCATGTAAAATTCATTATTTATTTCATTTTATTAAGGCCCGGGTGGATTATCTTTTGAACGTTATCTCTATTGTTTTTCCATCTTCATTATGTAAAATATATCACAATTTCCATTGGATTTTACATCACGCAGGAGTTCCTAAAAATTATAATTGTACAATCAAAAAAAGTAGAACAAGAAACTGAACATTTTGAAAGAGCGTTGTTAATAAAAATTAAGAAATAATTCTGATAGAGAGGAAATAGTGAATGGATAATTTATCATGGTAACTAACAATCTGACAGCCATTGACTACAATGACAAATGATGGCCTAATAGCCATTAGATACGTCAAATTATTAATTTGCAATTCCCAAAGATATCCCGGGAATTCTGATTTCCAAAAAATACAGAATTTTTGCAAATTTTCAAATAAATCACAATAACGATTATTGCTATAGCTTCATCTTCGAACTCGGTCAAAAGGACATCCAAACAAATTTTTTAAGCTATCATTCAATCAATTCAGAACATTTTTTAAAAATTATCGTAGAAAATCCAATTTTTGAAAAATTTTAAAAATTTATAAAATTGAAAAAAAATCAAATTTTAATTAATGGCTATTGATAGAGCTCAATAATACCTACATTTGAGGAAGAAAAAACATTCAATTCCATCGATGCATTAGCATACATACATACATACGTACGGACACGGTCTAAAAATTCCATTTTCGGACTTTTTGGATCAGAATGGGTCGATATAACACGAAAAATTCAAAACTTAAATTTGAACGATTACAAAATGCTTCCATTCGGAAACAAAAAAATGTCATAAGTAATACCTTCCCTTCATTTCATCTGTCGGCCAATCATTGTATCCCCAAGGCATCTCGGTGGTTCCCAGAAGGAGTCCAAAAATAAATCCAAATAAAATCGAAATAAATATGCCAAGGAGCAAGCTCTTCAATCCAATGCATATTAAATCCTTGTCTGCGATTATTGTCCCGAATGTGAGCGACATCACTGGCCCCTTTGATGAAGAACAAATTTAGATGTATAACGAGATAAGTCAAGAATTCCGAAACGAATTTGCAGAATTTTTTTGAAAATATTTTTGATAAACGACGGTTCACAGGTATTTAGCAGAAAATCCAGTAACGAAGCGGTAAAACGATTCAAGTCGATTTTGACTATTAGCTAGTTTTCAATGGATATGTCAAAATCAAGAGAAATAGCAAGAATTTTGGCATTTCCTTTTTTGTAGCCCTTAATTCACTTTATAAAAATGGTCATTACGAAAATTTCGTTATCTCCCTGAGATTCGAGGATATCCCTCGAGAACTCAGCTAAGGGCTAAGTCGACTTAAACCGTTTTACCGCTTCGCTACTGAATGTTCCTTTGTAGAAAAAAATAGTGTTAATGGTATTTGTCATAATCTGCATGATATTTCGAAATTCATCTCCTTTGCTCAAAATTATTTTGTATTTGCATTCATTCTATAAGAACAGCTATCATAATAATAGAGTAAGCATGGGAATTACCATGAGTGGAGACACGAGCATCGCAGCGACGACATTAGTAGCACTGTTTTCAACAAGTCCAAGTGCCGCTAGACAACTAAGGAGAGAAAAATTCGATTATCCTGTATAGGTGAATTATCAATAAATAATTATTCTTACTCTGCGGTTACCACGAGGGCAATATAATCGAATGTGAGATCACCCCCACTTCGAACTCCATCCACGACTTGTTTCACCGTTAATTTTGAGCGGATGGAGCCTACAAAGGCCTCCCAGGCGTTCCTACGATCTTCAGCATCTTCTTTCTTCTGTGCGAGATTCGCGGGCAGGGGCAGGGGACCTGAACTGTTCATACTGCTGTACGTGCATTGCGTTGGGATCACACTGAAATTATTGAAAGAACATTTATTTCTTGACCAATTGAGTCCAAAGATGAAAACTACAGTTTTGTTTGAAGTTTTTACATTTAAGTAATTTTCCATCATTTGCTCCTTATCGAAAATCCAATAAGGAACTTGCATGAATTTTTTTTAATTCTCTAATCTCAAGTTTGGGACCTGAATAATTCATTTTTCATTCACAAACGTTTGAAATGTTGCTCATTAATTAATAATTAATTGTTAAAAGTTGAAGATGTCAAACGCTTTGAGATTGCTAATGACGTCACACAGACGGTCGAACGCTGGACCAATCACAGAAACGCTCAAGCCGACCTAACCCAATCTTGAGGGCGCCTCGGTCAATGGAGGACGACAACTCCCCACTCTCTTCTTTTCCACCAATGCAGCGTTACCTGTCCGTCTTCGTGACGTCATCACCGAAAAATTGGCCTCAAAAACAACAGATTTTCAATTAATTATCGTAACACATCTGGGTAGTATTTCTCCATAATTTTCGCCGTTTAGCTATCCATATGGTACGAGGAATGTGTGAATAGGGGAATTAGAAAGAATTGAGCTTCACGCAAGTTCCCTATTGAATGGCCACAGCCTATTCATACTTATACTCCAGTTTATCATAAAAAAGTCAAATATATTGGTGTCGAAAAATAACTCACCAGAACAACAACCAGAACTTGTGGAAGAAAAATTTTCTATTTTTCAATGTGTGAATACCGGCTAGTTTTTAATTCTTGGTTACGAATACTCAAAATGTACACGATATGGGTGATTCTCTGCAAATTGTGATTTTTCACCTCGTACATTTTTCAAAATCTGAATATGTCTGTAGAGTAATTTTTTTACGTTTCTATATGTCATAATGGTCCAGAAGTATAGTTCTAGCACCACTCTACTACAACTTCAAAGGATTTAGAGTAATAGAGTATTACGGGTTTCTCACTGCCACGGTGGTGACTAAACTTGACAAGTCTGCGTCTTGTAATCACGGAATTTAATTTTTCGATGATAGAACAAGTTTATTGATTTATTTGACATCTTTCGAGTATCATATATTCATTTGCAGAGATCACTTTGGGTTTTTTTCAACAATCAATTCTGACGCAGCACAGGTGTATTCAGCGGTTGTTGATAACCGATCTGGGTATTACTCCGAGTTTGCACCATTTAAACACCTAAAACATTTTTCTAAATACCTTAGTGATGATACAACTCCCCTCCCACACGATTATGTATGATATGACACGGTTGTGACATTCTGTGTTAAAACCTAATCACACTTCGCGCCAGCTTTGAATTGAAAGCTCTCTTAAGATGATGAGTTTCAGGCAATGGAATGTTACTTTTTTAATGAAAAAAATTAGCTAAGAAATTACACGACATGTAACAATCATGAGACCATGGTAGTCACAGAATAATTTGTCGCTCATCTTTTTCATTTCTCGAGTAGTCTTTCCTGGATGGGCACATGTGTCTAGTTAATTTTTACTAGTGTAAATACTGGGCCTTACCCCTTCATTACAGAATTTTGGTATGCGCGTCAATAGTTGAATTCAAATTTTTTTAAATAGTACTATAGTTGTGAGACTAAATTTTTGATCTTCCTGGTGAGCGTAAAACAGTTATTCCTTTGAAAATTGCTCATGAAAGTATACTTTGTATATTTTGTATACTTTGAAACGGTGGAATGTCATAGTGTCTCCCGGCATCCGGAGGAATTTGAATATTATTTCATCATTTTGAGATTGGAAAACTTGAAGGACAAGAAAATAACAATTTGCAGATAATCACCCATACAATCTGTTAGGACTCTTTCAGGACTCATTACCAATCTTCTTTGCAGATTCAGCGCAAGAAGGATAGAAAGTGAAAGAATTTTAAGTGAAAAACCGAGAAATGGAAATATTTGGAAGATTTTGTCTGAAATTTGAATATATATTTTTTTATTTTTATTTTTTCTATTTTATTGGTTTTATCGAAGTAATTCTCGATTTGAAACCCCTTCTCTAGCCTGCCTCCCCTCCTTTCTTTTCCTCTCATTGTTATCTGCGGTATCATGGCCGTCTTACTCTTAGCTGTGCCCCATTCGAGCTAGGACTGCACGGGAAACCATGTAAAACCCCAGTCGCACAGCCGGCCGATTGTGCAGTGCCCTAATAGATCCAGCTGTCACACTGACTAGATGGAGAAAACACTAGGCCGCTACACCGTACCTACGCCCGTAATTTTTGTGCGAGCGAGGTGTTCCTAAGTGGTCACCCATCCAAGTACTAACCCAGCTCAACGCTGCTTAGCTTGGATGTCCGCCGGAGCAACACCTCACCCATCTAATCATTACAGTCGGTCAAATTTGAATATATATTTTTTTATTGATAGGATTGGAAAACATCCAGATGAATATTTTGAAAGAAAAATTATTGAAATCAATTGAATGGTTTTTTAGATATTTGCGAATAATCTTTTCCAACCGAATCGCTTTGTCAAAAACGAATGGCCTGATTAGGCTGAAATTTTGCACAAAGCCCAAAATTAGGGATGCAAAAATTTTGTGACACGTCAGTAACACGTCATATGACCGTCACATTATTATTATGATTATTATGACAGCATTAACATCTGACCCTCATATTCCAACTAAGTAGATCATGGTTACTCCTCAATTTTATGACAAATTTAGTGATACAAATTCTACGTGACCGTCATATTTCATCTAAGAAGCAATAAAACCGTCACATTCTTCATAATGGCTTCTTAATTTTTCAACATTTTTTGTAGCATCGATTCTATGTGACCGTCATATTCCAGCTAAATAGCTGTGACAATGTAAAACTACTAAAATTATGAAAAACAAATACGACGTCACATAGCAGTCGTATATATGACGGTCATAAATTCTGACTGCTAATTGGTACTACTGAGACTCAAATTTGTGTTTAATTTCAGCTCGATCGGTTGAGCAGTTCCTGAGATATTGCGATTCTTTGAAAATAGTTTTTTGCCAATATCTCCTGAACCATTCGATTTTTTTTTCAAAATACTCGTCATGATGATACCTATTTAACTTGATTGAAAAAAGACCACTACACCCTGAGCAATGTCGTTTTATTCTCGATTTTTTTTCATTTTTTTTTTACTGAAATTGCTTGTTCGCACGATAACTTGAAAAATAATCGAGATAAAAACTTGGTATGATTTTAGGTCTAATACAACAAAGTTTGGGATTCCGGATGAATGAAATGATCAGTAGTTTCGGAGATTTTCAACTTTGCATGTGGAACTCTTTTGCTCAATATCTCAAAAATTACTGATCCGATTCCAATTTTTTTATTCAAAATGTGCGTTTTGATGTGATCTATCTAGATCCAACAAAATATGTGTACCATCACATTGAAATTTTTCGAGATATCGTCGTTTTTGTATTTATTTTGGTCGGAATTCACTTTTGCACATTATGACATGGGTAGCAGTCAGGGAAACCTTTTCAAATTTTGGCTTCTAGTCAGGATTGTCAAGAAACATTCCTATATGAAATTTTAGGGCGATATATTTGTTAGTTCTTGAGATGGAACAATTCACCCAAAATTCTTGACAAAAAAAATTTTTTTTTATCATGAAGTATGAATGGGATTGGCCTTAATATTTTCAAAAAATGGTAATCCTTATGCCTTCATTTGCTAGAAACACATTGGGATCCATTCTGAAGCCTACTATCAATGAAATTGGTAGAAATGAAAATAGGAGAAAAAAAATACGCGGAGAGTAGCAGTCATATGTAATCTGTCCAAGGGCTTCAGTCGCGTTGCTTGTTTTATCACACTTTTACGATGAATTAATAATCACTTACGCCAATCTTCTTCATTGTTAATTGTACTGGCGATAAGCTGTCACTTTTGTCGGGAATTGAAGACTTGTCTTGCTGGACAGCACAATTTTCAATTGAGAAGATTGGTGTAAGTGATTAGTAGTTCTCCGTAAAAGCGTCACCAAAAAATTCTTAAAAATATAACAAAAGTTTTCAGAGAGCTTCTTTTCGTACAATCGTCTGGTTGCGCTGTGCCAAAGGATTTATTATTTCATCTGTCCTCCCCATTTGCCACGGTAATGATACATTATTTATATCTCCTCTATTGAACTCATTCCTCAATACTAATTCTGTAGTGAAGTGGTAAACTAGGATAAGTGCAAAAATGGAACTTTTTCAGAAAAGTTGAAAAATTTGACCACGTTTAAGAGAAGTTTTGATTCAAGCAATAGAAAATTTTTCCAAAAAATTGCACTTATCGTAGGTTACCACACTTCACTACAGAATTTAAAAAACTCTTTCAAAATGTTCAGATTTTTTAAACTTTTTTTTCAATCTAAATTCATAATTTTCGGGGGTCTGTGAGTGACAGAGCGTCGAGTTGAAATTTCGCGATAAAAATTGAACTAAAAAGCTAGATAATGTTCGGGAGATAATGGAGTCGAGCCTTAATTATTCAACCCTAGATTGGTCACTCTATGAGGGAGAGTCCGCCGCGCGTCGTTTTTCTTTAATTACAATTGACTGGCTAACCGGAAAGATTGAAAAAAAATGACTTTCTTAATTGAAGTGTCTAAAAAATTATAGTAGTTTTTAGAACAGCATATTTCCCAAAATTCCTAAAGAAAATGAATGATTTCGCACAGATGAATTATTTTTTCCCATGTTAAATGAAATTGCCCATGACGCGACGTTGTCGAAAACTCGCTAAACGCGCCCGGGCAGTGTAGAGTGAATTCGACAACGCAAAAGTCTAAATAACACTGCGGGGAATCCCCGCGGAGGTGACGAAAGCCGTTAATATGTGAAAAATCAATCTCTCAAAGGGTGCCGGCGGACACCTGCACATACACACATGACTGCCAAACTTTGTATTTGTACATTTCAGAACATTCTACGTCGTCTCCAAGAAGAATTAGAACGCGTAAAAGTCAAACGGTTATGATACTTCATTGGGGAAAAAATAACATACCTCACAATAGAATTCATTCGCCTCCCGATCCCCATCTCAGTCAAACAGTGCAGGCAATTCTCACAGGGATCTCCAGCAGGTACTGGAAAAATGACTTCATAATACATATTCCCCTTATCTTTGCACCACACGACATGTTCTACCCTCAGCTTCTTCAATAATTCATCCAGAACAGTTTCCATGGGCACAAAAACCGGAGATTCATTCGTTCTACTAGGCCCTGGAGAACCTAGTCGAGTTTTCAGTCTCTTCCTCGCGTTAAAAGTCGGCTCAGTAGCCTCGTTCTCGTCTCCATCATCAATATCACCGTCAGAGTCATCCCCAATCGTAATCAAATCCCGGCTTCTCATTTCTTTCAGTCTCAGATCAACCTTTGCTCCAATTTTCGATGAAGGCTTCTCATTCTTCTTCGACACTTTTACTGGGATTCCGAAGATCAATTGGTGCTCATGCGATAATGTTGGAATGCAGACGAGAAAGACAACGCCACCCGGCATTTTTAAATAATATTTATCATTTATTTATCTGGATTCTTAATGAGTAACCGGGGAATTTCAAGGGGTAACGGAGATGAATGGAATCAGCCTGGCATTCGCGACACAGTAGTCTTGACTGTTCTTTATTTCGCATTCCAATGTCACTGGATGATGCCACTGATGCTAATTTTCATGATTAATGTGAGTTTGATCGTTGGAGTGCATGAGCAACATCACTTTCATACTAATGCAATGATTTTTTTAATACAATTTAGTTTTTAAATTTCATATTCAATTCCTGCATTTTTCGGTGATCTAAATGATCTTGGAATGAGTTGAATTGTTAAGAAATTGTAGAGGTTTTCATTATTTACGTTTGATTTACAGAATAACAGGACGGAATTTTTTTCAATTATTCGATAGGGAAGGTTTATGCCACTCATTAGTGTGATAATTGTCGATATTAATATACTTCTTATGGCTTACGTAATTTGACTGGATTTATGATTTTTTTTCAGTAGTTGAGGGAATGCTGGAAAGAGTGAATTTATCTGAGCATTGTACCATTTTAGTTTCTATACTTTTAAACAATCCAGTGTAATGGTTTTGAAGCCTCTATTTCGCTCAAGTAATGGAATATGATGTCTATGTATATTTTTTTATGTACTGTAATCTTTTGTTTACAGTAATTGTAAAAAAAGAGGAATTCATTTCTTACTGTAATAAAAAAAATGTAGTCCTGTAAAAAATATATATACAATAATATATATGTATATATATATGTATTTTATATATTATGAAATATATATATAATACAAGATACATAATACATCCCTAAAAATCGAACGCAAAAAGCAAAAGAGAAACGAAGAAGAAGATGAAGAGGATTATGACTATTCCGAATAAATTATTCAACAATTAAATTCTAATTGTGTATTCTTTTTTCCTGCATTATTATTTAGATAAAAATTAATGAAAGTGAGAAACGGTAAGGTTTTACTATTCTGGCACCCATGGAAAACAATACGCGCGCGAAGCGCACGCCGTTTTCTAATTTACGAAAAAAAGCTATATTGGGTTGAAAAAAAGTCCAGCAAAGTACAAGACCTTCCATGCGAGAAAACCACCACTCAAGGTCCACTCAATCTGCACAAATAACTGAACATCTATGCAAGTAGCACAAAAATAATTGTAAATCATAAAAAAAGGAAAACCATTTTTTTTTATTATATCAACAATACTTGGGTAAAACTTCTACATAATTTATTGCCCTTGACTTTATTTATTTATCTCCATAAAAAAATTATTTTTTTCCTTCATTTAAGCATAAATTCAATTCTTGCGATTTCTTTAAACATTATAGAGTGTGATATGCACTTTTTAATCATTCACAAGACCTTCAATGAGTTGTATAAACTTCAAGATCTCGTATTTCCTTATTCTAATCCTTTCAAAAACATGAAAATGGATAAGATGCTGGGATTCATCAATAAACACCATAATAAAAAAAAATATTTTAGAAAAAATTCGTTCTAAATTTATTATTATCTTTCGATGCATATCAATGTGATATTCATCAAAGAATTTCATTGACAAATAGTTATTCTATCTAGTTGGAATTGTGCTACTTCTTTCACTTTTCACAAACTAATGATCGTTGTGCGTTAACAATAATAAAATAAATATAAAGCTGAACAGCTATTATGAAAAAAAAAGATGTATAAAATTACGAATAGAGGCACATTCGAAAATTTCACTGGCAACGTGTAACAAAATAAATAGTCTTAGTAGTTATTCAGTATTCATTAAAAATATTTTCATTTAAAGTTCATTAAAGTATCACTTTGAGTACAGTCAAGTTCAAGCTTTGTTATACGGTATAAAAATTACGGTTTTACGCAGCGTAGTGTTTTCCCAGCAATTCTGGATGTGTAGTGATATGAATGCCGACGAGGCACATCGTCCTGTAGATCTTGTACATCGTTATCAGAACTATCAGAGTCTCTGTCGATTTCGATTTGGATGTGGAATTCACGATTACCCATGAGGGTCTTCAGGCACAGGTTAAGTTCTTTTACTTTAGCACGGACGATCAATTCCAAGGTGAACAGGTGCTCGTCGTGAGCTTCAGGGATGAATTGATGTATAAAATCCGCTAATCTGAAAAATGAAGTGTTCACTTCGATTAATTTTATGAAAGAAATTCTTATCAAGTTGATTTGATCATCGTCATTGATAAAATGTTTTTTCCGTTCCATTTATGAATTTATCGCGCGCTAAATGGAAAACGGTCATATTGATCATTTTGGAATTTTTAGGAAAAAAAAATATTTTTAATTATTTTTATTAACGAAATGAAAAAAGGTCGTATAAACATAATCTAAGGAACATGAAATTTGGACGATTTGGACTCTGCAGAATCATTTTCACCCATCTTTTGAGGACAATTTTTTTTTTGGCGGATACGACCGTTTTCCACAGATATTTCTCCAATAGCGGAAAATGAAAAAAAAAATCTTTTCACTGTTTTCTCATTTTTCATTATTCTAGTAAAATTTCTATTGGAGAAAAATTTGTGGAAAAAGATCGTATGCGTCAAAAAAAATTGTCCTCAAAAGTTGGGTTAAAATGATTCTAGAGAGCCCAAATCGTTCAGATTTCCTGTTCCCTAGATTAGCTTTATACGACCTGTTTCGACTTCTTTGACCTAAAAATCCCAAAACGACCTTTTTCCATTTAGCACGCGTTATAATGGGACGCAGGATGTGATGTTTCTTGTGTGTATTCAGTTCTTTGGAGATTCCCCTACGAGAAATCCATCGAATTTTTTGAACTGTTTTCCCTGTCTACAGACTTTAATGGGCGCTATCCAATGATCCCAATTAAATTCAATACATATGAGCCTGCACAAGTATTATGAAAAAAACATTTAAAGATCTTGATATTTTTCGAAAAATTCAATCACGGCCCGACGAATTGATGTTAATGATCTCTTGATTCTATCAAAATATAATAAGAATCCCACCATTTGTTGTTGAGTTACACGATTTCTGTCAAGAATCGATTTTTAATGATTATACTGGAAAAATCAATTGATTTACAGTTTAACAAATTGTTTTAATGCCTTCTTAATTTGGTCAAAAGATGGTTTTCATGCCTTTAACAGCTTGATCGATTTGATGTTGTGTGGAGTGCCTTGGAGTTTGAGGAATTAGAATCAAATAAAAGAATTATGAAAACCATTAAACTGCCGGGAATTATAATTACTGGAATAGATACCATTGAAAGATTATCTAAACAGTGTTAATGGAATAATTTTGTTCTAATTTCGTTTCAGTTATCCTTAGGAAATTGCGATGTGTTCCAACGGAAATCCTGAAATACCTAAGTTAAATGACATGGCATATATCCGAATATATCCAAAGTAATTCTATAACAGTTTGACTTGAAATATCTCTTTTCAATTTTAGAATTATCCCAATAATGTAAGCTCTTTCAACTGCGAAAGTACTTTCAATGTTTTATCTACATTTTCTCGGTTGCGAGATAGTTGAATGTCGAGAAAATCAATCAATCCATACATTAGCCATCAAACTTTTGTTTAATTCAATATACCTGAGGAGATACTCCACATTATGACCGCTAGGTCCTTCGGATTCTAAAATCTGTTGAGCGATTGCATGGATGGGGGCATCACCGAGCCAATGTTTATTTTTATTAGTTGCAATGTAGATTACCACTGGAAAACTGTGCGATCCGTCTCGCGAATGAAACGTCGATATCGTCGTTAAATATCCACCTAATGTGCATTCTCTTTTTTCAAGATAAGGTAACGCTGCACTTCCAGTCACTTCGAACGCTCGGCCATACGTGATTTCCTTAAGAATGAACGAATCTTTATTAATTAAGACAATTTTTACGATGTGACTTGTTTCAAATTTTTATCTTATCAAATAAATCTTACTTTTTTATCGTCTATCAGGGTGGCTACTCGCCCTGGCTGAAAAACACAGAAATATCAATTGATTAACGAGCTTATCTAACATTGTTTTATTTTTTATTATTTGTATATGGCTACGTGAATATTTTCGATTAAGAAATTCAGAGACGAATGAAAAGAAGCCGTTTTTATATGTCGAAAGAAAATTGTTGGCAAAAAATCTTGACATTTTCTCGGTAATATCACCCATTACGATCGTGTGTCATATCGAGTGTCACCACACGTGTTTCACTGTTTGCGGTTCAAAAGGATTATCTTTCGACAAGGCATGTTGACAGAAATCTCATAAGGTTACTCCTAACAGTCAAAGGCAACCGATAATTCCTGCGTTTAATTTCAATAATATCACTTCGAAAGATTTCAATAACTCTTTAAAATTGTGTGGGACTTTCAAAACAATCCAGCTACGTATCCATCCAACGAATGTCTGAAGACACGAGTGATGCGCGTGATCAGCTCAATTGGAATATTAATAGTATTTTAAGCGCGCAGAGCAGCCCAACAGAAACTAACTTTTGTATCTCCTTTGTTACGCGCAAATTGTTTGTACTCTAAAAACGAAACTGAACACAAAGATAATGTGTCCCGGACGTCTTCGAGTAAAAGAAGTCACGAACAAAGAAGATTAAATGACACAAATGTAACAAACACTTGAGGAAATAAACAAACATGTGGAAAAATAATTCGACTGAGTTAAAATAAAGTTGGAATTCTTTTCCGGACATCAACCTTTTCGTTGGCAGACGACCTGCTATGGCTATTTTTCAAATCAATTCAAAATACCAAGATATTCGCCTGTAAGAAAGAACATTTCAAAAAATGTTTTTTATTCTGAGTAGCTGAGTGCAAATGGAAATGATTACCGTTGAAAATGGTTGATTTTAGACAATAAGACCAAAAGACATTTTTTGCAAGAAAATTTCTTCTCTGAAAGATTATTCTCTTCTAAGCTGTTGAGGCTCTAAGATATTTGCAGACAAGTCAATGCCAGAAGATGTTTACCAATCTACTCAGCAAAATAAATAAATATTGCAAATGTTACTGCGTGAGATTTGATTATTTTTTTATTATTAAAATATCCAATATGAAAAATTTATGATGAAGTGTATCAGAATCAGGAATATATTTTAGAATTCCCACATGAAATAGAAATTAATAATAAATAAATAAATAAATAAATACCTTGGCACTAGTTCCTCGATGGCTATCGTTTCCCTGCCAGAACCGTCTCCCGAATCCCTTCACGTGTCCCGTCATACTTCTTTTGAATTCAAATCCAGGATTCCAGCACAGAGATCCATAGCCGAACACCCAGAGTCCAGTTGCTGCAGCCATTCTCAATAAATTCACTTATATCTCGTGGAGAGTAATTTAATATCAGACCGCACGTTCAACTACTGAGTGCAAGCTTCAATTCATTCTCGCTAATTTAGCAATAAATATAAATGAAATGAAGCAATTGCAATTTGTCAATAAAGTCACGTCATCGTTGGTGATTGAAGGATCACGTACGTTGAAGTGTTATGAACTCTGAATGAACGATTCCATCTGTTCATCGAGGGAGAGGAGGTCTGTTGGATGCCAGTGCTACTGCCCAACTCGTGGAATACTGACAATCGTGCTAAGCTTTAAACTTGGGGCTGATAGGTGGACGAAGAGCGATTGATAGTTGCACTTGACTGGGTCCCTTGTTTCCCTACGGTCTATCTTCGGCATTGTTCTCGCTTTCTATTGGAGAATACGTAATTATGATATTAATAATCTTTGTACAGATTAAATAGACGATGTATGATTATGTTTAATAATCTGTAGTTGATAAACAAGTATTGATAAGAGAGAAGAATCAATGGCTTTCACATCTTCTAACATAAACTGCTAAATGACTCAGATTTTCCGGACTAGGGTAAGCTACCCAGTAGATGGGCACTGCCCTATAGATGGACGAACTATTTTTGGAGAGGAAATTACGCAAAAAATGCAAAACTGCAAAAATTCCAAAAAATGCAAATATGAATTGTTACTTTGCAATTTCACCAACTGTTGTGAGTCTTAATCCCCGAATAGCAATTTTTTCGACCAATTTTTCTTCAATTTCTGATAAAATAAACGTCCATCTACTGGTCAGTTTACCCTAAAACAATTTTTCGTTTTGTTCTAGAGCCGATCAAACCGGTATAATTGACTATGATTTTTTTTTATTTGATTGACTTTCTAGAAATTCTAAAAATTGTCTTGAAATTGAATGAGTTGAGGAAAGAATATCAAAAAAGCTTTCTCACAGTTGAAAAAATTTTCAGCTAGTTAAATGTTTTTGTTTCCTTTAAATAAAAATAAATGCTGTAATAATTTCAAAATGAATAAGAATTGATTTCAATAATTCCGAACTTTTTATAATTTTTGAAAGTGTTCTGAAAGATAATCCTAGAAGACTTGTTTTCAAGTTGAGAACACTGATATTTTCTGTTAGACTCAATAATTTGTAAAATAACTCAATAATTGATGGGATGTCAACTTTAGAGAAAACTTTCACGAGAAAGTTGAGGTTGTCGAGTTGAAAGTTTAATGAGGAATACAGTGAGATGAGACGATTGACAACAACATTTCGCCAGACCATTCATAAAAATAGTTTCAAAATTATTACTCGTTTCGTATTCCGATTGATGTTTTATCCTTTGAAAATTCAAGCACTCCCATTTATGATTTAAGAGCAGAATACTATAAGTTTTAACAGTCGTGGGCTATTGGAATGCGATTTCTCATACATTGAAGATAGATTATATATGTCCAAAAATGAATAATTATAGCACATTTTTTTAATAAACATTGCACCATTCATGTAAAATAGCCCGCAAAATGTTTCTGAAAGAATTGAGAATATATTTTAAATATTTTAAGAATAATTTCACTGCTTATTTTACATGAGTGACGCAAATTTTAATTTTAAACAAAACAAAAAACTAATTCGTAATTATTATTGCACGCATTTTTTCAAAAATTTTGAGAAAAAAAACTTATGTAGCTCAAAAATTGGAGGCCCTGGACTATTTTTAACATTTCAAGTGTGTGCGGAAAAAAGGAACAATGAACTTCAATGTATGAGAAACTTTTAAATCTCATAGTAGTCTCACCTTAAGGATACTTATCTAAATCCCTAGCACTCAAAAAAATTTGGGTTTTGCTATAAATTGGAATCCACCAACCGAAGTGGATCATCGAGAAATAAAATAGATAATATGTACCAATTGCAGACGTTACGCGAATTTACACGTGAGCTCAATGGTTGGTTATTGGATTCCGTATATTTTGTCACATTCCCCTCTATTATTATTTTTATTCTTGGTTTTGTCATAGATAAAATTTGTTTACTCAATTTTACAGAGCGGTTGCGATTTTTTTTCAACAATCAAAATAGTTGGCTGACTTGTTTTTGATTCGGTTGTGTAAGTTTTGAGTTTAAATTGAACTAACTTTAGCGCACTTTTTTTTACGTTCGAGTCATGAAGAGTACAGGTACGAAAAACTCCCCGGTTTGGCCATGTGACAGAGCCGCTCGTTCTTTTCACACAGAGATTTCACTTGCTCCAAATAACTTTTCTTCAAATAAAATATAATAATTTGCGAGAAATTAAATTTCCATGAATTTGAATATAATGTTGAAGCTACTAGTAATCAACATTTATCGATCAACAACTTTGAGAAACACTGGCAAAATATTCAGGAATAAACTCAGAACATTGGTACTATTCATTCATTCTTGGCGTAACTACATGTGAAGATGCTCTTATGTATCTTCAAGAAATATTAACAAATAATTAATCACTGCAACCCATTAAACTGATAAATAAATAACTCACGTTTAAGTAAAGGCCGGTTGACGGTTGACGTCTGTTGCGTGTGGTAGGCGAACGAGACTTCAAGAGAATGGAGAATCTCTCGCACGTTTTTCAGTAGATTCAGTATATAGTGTGATACGGAATGATGGCAGAGTGAGACATTACGACCTTGGACGGAGAACGCAAGCGCGCTGAACCAGGGTGTGACAGAGAGGGAAGAGGTTAAGCGATATGTGCCAGTAGTAGTGCGATGTGGTGCGGTGGGGGAATTGAAGCGGCTGATGAAATAACTGCTGAAGATTGGACGTTACCGAATTTTTGGCTGGATAGAGAATTGATTTTTCCCGGGGCAGAGGACGGACTGAAGGACACTGTGCTTCCTTAAGATCAGATCAGGGTTGGGCGTGTAAATTACATTGGTAAATTACACCGTTTTTTACCCACATAATTTTCGTAAATTGCCTCGACGAGTGTTTTACATTTTTCAAATTACTAAAAGCTTGCAATTTTTGGTTACTAGAATGTTTATTTTATTCTGACTGACGAAGACGCAGTATTGGGTATACTGCATAAATATTTATTCAAAAATAGTATATTATTTCCCGAGGACAGATAAACCGCGAATTTTCTGACCCATGTGATTAAAGTCCCCGCCTTCGGCTTGGATTATAAAGCCACATTCGTCAGAAAATACTATCATCGCCTGGTGATATAATGTACTATTACATTACATGGTACGATTTACGGCATTTTAAGAAACTCAAAAAGATGAGCCTCATACCTCATAAAGAGTCAATTTCACGAGAGTCAAACGTTGCAAAAGACCAAAGTCACAAGTCATCTACACTGAGAAAGTCAATCTCATTATCTATTGAGCTTCATTGGCTTCTCCACTTTATTATTTGGAGCCCCAGAGAAGTCCAGTTGGCCCTCAAATAGTATATTATGTCACCAGGCGATAAAAGTATTATCAGGCACGGATTATAATGCCACATTCGCCAGATAATGCTTTTATCGGCGTGTGGCATACGATATTTTATGTCGTTGGGCCCGAAAACCGCGATCCGAGCGAAACGAGATTAGAATCGCGGTTTTTTCGGGCCTAACGACATACAGAATCATTTCGTTCTGAACAGTTCAAAAAAGCTACCAAAGACAATTGAATTAGTTTTGTCATTTCAGAATGCTGAATGAAACAAGTTAATGTCAAGACAAAAGATGATGACGCGATGAATTCAATTGACTTCAATATTTTTCGGGCTATTTTACACGAATGGGGCAATTTTTTATTACAATAATAACAAAATTAGCTGTCTAGGATTTGAATTAAAAAAAATACTAATTCGTAATTATTATTGCACATATTTTTCCTAAAATCTTGCAAAAAAACCTCTGTAGTTGAAAAATTGGAGGCCGTAGACTATTTTTAACATTTTAAGCGTTTGCAGGGTAAACGAACAATTAGTTTTTTTGCATTAATTATTCGTTTTTACACATATATAATCGATCTTCAATGTATGAGAAATCTCGTTCCAATAGCCCGGGACATGTCGACTTAGCTCTCTTGATTTTCCCCTCCAAGTATGTGGACTCGAACCGCCGCTCAATAAAAACAATCGATTGAGAAATTATCAGGTGGATGGATTTAATTAATTTTCCTTTATTCGAAATAATGAATAAGTTGATATTTTTACAAAAATTACACCAATGGAGGCCGAAAATTATATCAAATCACAGTTATCTAACCCGTACGGAAAATTTTCATGGAAAAACTTGGAGAACATCGTTCACGGAGAGAAATTTCTGATAAAAATTATCCTGCCGTTCTATAAAAGTATATCATGAGTCATCGTTTCCTCATTTCTACCTCGAAATTTAGTAAAAATTAATATATGATGATCACATTTTATTCTGTATTAGAGAAATTTTATCCTGATAAAAATAAAAATTACCGTGCCGGTAGAGTAAAAATTACTGTACCGGTAGGATAAAATTTACCAATCTTTCTAGAATTTTCGTTATCTACATAAAAATTATTGGACTGGAAGAGTAAAATTTATTATGCGTCAGGATAAAATTTCTCTAACGTAGAATAAAATTTGATCATCATACATTAATTTTTACTACGTTTCGGGATAGAAATGAGGAAACGATGACTCATGGTACACTTTTATAGAATGGTAGGATAATTTTTATCAAAAATTTCTCTCCGTGTTCGATAGATGAATTAATAATGAACTTCATTTGGCTTATGCTTCGTCATCAGACTCATCATTATCATCGGAATCTTCATCATCAAAAGGAAATATAGCTGCACGGAGAGAAATATTCGGTAAAAATTACGGAAAAATTCACGTAATCCGCAATTGCGAATGGTTTTCCGGCAATTTTTATAGGAATGGAAGAAATCTGAAACGCTCAGTGAATTCTCAGGTTCATCACCGAACAAAGTACGAAATTGTCACGTAATTTTTCCCGAAGAAGTCAAATCTCACACAATCTTCGCGACTATTATCATGCCTCCGAAATCAAAAATTCTTAAACGTTCAACAATTTTTCTGAAGCGGGTGAGTTATTTCTACGTTAAGTTCCGTAAAATTTCTCAATCGTTGGGGAAACATTACAGAATGACTTGTGGTCCTCACAGCCGTGAGTCATCAGACGAGTGGTTAATTTTTATCGAACAAATCGTAGAATTTACGTGGCGATTCGTACAATTTCAGTTCTGACTTACACTTTTTATTGAATTTTACTTCGCTCGCGGATTACCTTTCAAAACGTAATTTTTACGTTTTTTTCTGGTAATTTTTATTGAATTTTTCTCTCCTGGGATCAAATAAGCTTTTTTTCCTTGAATAAACTTTAGATAACCCATCAGGTAAAATAATCCATCGAACTTCCAAATTTGCATTTTTTCTCAATTGACAATTTAGTTGACTGAAGCTGGTGCAACCGGGCCTCAATGATTGTTTTTTCTTCAAAATGTTCGTTTGCTGCCGAACTTTTCAGAAAAAAAAATAGTAAGAAAATTCGTGATATCGAATATTTGGAGCTTCGGAATTGGCATGGAACCGCTCATTTAAAAAGACATACATATCCAAAATAAAAATAAAAAAAATCCAAAATAAAATTGGACATACGAATTTTTCGTTTCAACCCTTCGTTACTCACCTGAAATTGCCTGACATGGTTACTCGCATTGCGGCGCTGCATTGTAATGTAAATCTGAGCGCGCCGTTGCCACAATTCATTCGGATATTGGAATCGCGCGGAGGTCTTTTCACTCTTCTGATCTCCCGGCAGCCACAAGTGTGGCAACGCAGTCTGACATATTTCCGTGAACACGATCCGTCACATCGCGGCGCTTCGCCATATTTTTCATTTCCAGTTAGAATAAAAAGGAATTTCGCTCTAATCAGAGGCTTCGGCCGTGGTTGGAAATTGCAGAATGCTTTTAAATAAATCAGCGAGGCATACAATTTTTTCAACTTTTTTAATGAGTTTTTTCGGAAGTTTTACTAAAGAAAAGATTTCACCGACGAGGTGCCGCGCATACATGTAACGAATGGTTACGTGACATATTTTTGCAACTATGAAAAGCAAAAGTTTGTTTTTCCATTGATGACTGAAGTCGAAACGTTTTGCTTTTTGGGGATTAATTTAGTGGGTTTTGTAAAGGCACACGATCGTATATGCTCGTATAAAAAGATGAACATATCAAGATGGACGAACATGAATAATTGGGTATACGACGTGGTTGGCTTCCGGATGGATGCCGCGTTGAGTTTCAGCATTGCGCCGACGTTTCGCAAACATTGCAGTCTGCATCTTCAGGGCTATGAGCTCCGATTCTGAGCTCCGATGTGTGGGGGCAGTCCTTATATACCTTCCCTTGTGGTGGTGGGAGAAGGGGAAGGGGGGGG